TTCTGTCTGATCGCTATACGCAGTTCCCACGAACTCGCACGTCCTTGAACAAAGGTCGACCTAAAAATATTGTTGATATCCGTTTAAGTTTATCACTTTCCAACAAAACATAAGTTTCCCTAGTTTACGTTTAACAGTGGAAATTTTACGGTAAATCCTAAGGTATATTTGTGCAATTTTAACTGCGTTTGGAAACTTTCTGGTCATGACTAACCAAGGATTCACTGAAACGGTAATCAATTTAACGGATCACTCTTGACGGTCATTGTCGAAAAAAATAATACAATTAGTGTTGTCACCGGCGAAAACAGAAGTACCCGACTCCCATAACTTGGAAAAGTATTGATGTTTAGAACATGTCCGCACGCAATTCTGTCTGTTACTTATAACTCGGCAGAAGGTTGAGTCCAGTCAGTCTTGACAAAACCTTGCCATCATCCATTTTTTGACCGCGTTTCTGAGTGATACTGTACGCAACACCAAAATAGTTAAAATAAGAGGTCTTCAACAAGGAACGCGTATGTGAAATCTGGCTCTTGATAAACAATCCGCGTCCTAAAGAAACTTTCGTCGAAAATTGAATCAGTGCTTAGATCCAAAGCTCACTTTTTCGAATACGGGACATTTTTCGCATATCTATGTCATTTAAACCTAATTTCCTAGGCAAAAACTTTCGAAAAGTTCACTCTGTGTTATCAATCGTACAAAACAGAGGTCGAACTCTAAACATTTTGGAATGTCCTTCGATGGTGGCTTTGAATAAAGAATAGTCAGATCGTCTGATACAGTCGAACTTTTGCCCTCGTGGTGGCCTGTAGGGTCTAATAATGTTCGTTTTCCGAGGTCAGCGCAATCTATTTTCCAGTTCCATCGTTCAATCGTTTTATTGAAAAGATCTCCTTGAAGTCTGCAATATAAGTTTTAAATTTCTCCTAGCTTTGGAATGGCTATTCAATGTCTAGTCAATGAAAAGATTTTATGTTTTAATTCAAGTGTGAGAAGATAAAACAGATAAAACATCCCTATATAACAAGTATCGTGCGGATCATTTGCATATAATATTTAGCTGATTCATCGAATTTCGTCCGGCCTAAGATTTAAGTCCTTTCCATTCCTTTATTCCTTTAAAGTTTACTTGCGTTCATGGTGATTCTAAATACATGCTGATGGCTACGGTCCCGAAATCGCTGCTCTTTTTTTCGTGCGGGAACGGCACAGCATGATGTTTGTTTGTTACAATTAGATTTGAGGGTTATCTTACATAATTTCGCTAAAGAAACAGGCTTCGGGCGCCTTCTTCTTCTATTCAATATTGTTCTCTGCCGCCTTTTGTCGTCTGTCCCTAGAAGTCATGCACTCATTTTGTTCCTCAAAGTTTTGGCGGCGGTGTTTTCTCGAAAAATTTTAATCTTGATCTCGCTCAAAAGATAAAGTCGAAACGTAAAACCGCCACGTTGACAATTGCCGTCATTTATCGTGATATTTTCATGTGAAGCGTATGAATGGTACGTTCCCTGAGCGCAGGGAGACATAAGGAATTACGCTTTTTCATCAATGTCAAAATTTAGTTGATGTAGATCTTCGGTAAAATTGGCGACGGATTTCTGCCCTTCAGTTAAGCCAAACAAGTGTTCTGAATTATAAAAGTTTCTTCACATTGATCGTTCGCTCAAGTAGCCTACAACCAAACGCCCAACGGGATGAAAATTGAACGACCCTATCGACAACTTATCGCCAAAGTAATGTAAAAGGAGAGATCCATCGTCACCGAATCCCGACTTAAAAGATTGACAATTTTACAGGCTCAATTTGGCTTTATCAGTATCGTTACTTCGTAGCAACGACTCCCAATTAAAGTCATTTCACGTGGAATCAGTTGGCAGTTTGATTCAGAAGTTTTGTTAAAGAATAGAAAACGCATGAGAAGCAACGGGAATCTGACCGCTTCTGGATACGATTGAAGTTTTAAACGTCGAAGCTAATACTCGTCTCGGTAAGTTGGTAACTCGTAATTTGTACACTCGGAGCATGGTATTGAGTTCAGGTTTTTATAAACGAAGGCTGTCTTCGATCACTTCCTTCGCTCGGCTCCACAAAACAAAACACGTGATCACTTATACCGTGAGAACGTTTTTGCTCAGCGATGAGCTGAAATTTCATGGGCTCACTAAGCAATATCGACAACGGAGGAGAATTTGATTAAACAGTTAGTCCAGTGCGAGGCACTGAACATAAAATTTCAAAGCTGAAATGACTTCACACCGCACAATAACTTCTCTTTTGGTTCAGCTCGAAATAAAATGCAAGCAGGTTAAAATAATACAGGAAAGCTCTTGAAAGCTTCTTGTTTGTAAGTGTTTCGATTACTGGTCCAACTATTGTTTGGACAACCATATATTGGAATGAAATGACTGATAGGTGAATTTTAAAATGAAAAACGCTTTATGGAATTAAAAGATAGCACTCATCTTTAAAAGAATGCAAAGGAAGGAAACTCATGACATCTGAAGTTGAATAAGTAACAATAATAATCCACCTTACGAACGGATTTTAAGCTTGGAAATCTGGCTTTGGATTTCATGTTTTGCCGAGAAATCCGAAATCCTGATATCAAAAATTAAATTCAGATTTCCCAGTCGAAAGCACTCCATAATTTCGTTGTCTTTTGTCAGAAATTAACTATGAAATGTGACAGTATAACATATTGTAGTTGAAGTGACTTCACACCGCATAACGACATCTTCTCTTCAGGTTCTGCTCTGCTGTTTCTGGCTCTCTTTGTGACTTTTAAAATTCTACCATCAATGCGTGCATTGCTAATAGATTGTCATAAGAACACTGCAGTTTGCCTGGAAGAAATAATGAAGGAACTCGCCCAAATTCGATTTCAGGTTAACATTCTGGCGGAGAGCCGAACATCGTTGAGATGTAAGTAAGATATCATTCGCTGGCTCGTATCTATAATTCCATATTCTCTCAATCGTTACTTATATTAAGGGAGACTTATTCTGCAGAATGGTGAATCCAATTTATGTTTCAAAGGACTAATTTTGCAATTTTAAAATATACAGTTTCCTCTTCGGAACTCTTATCCTTTGCAATACTCTTTCAACCAGCAGTGTAGCTGAACATGGAAAGGAAAAAAAAAACGATTGCACTTTGAAATGTTTGCAGTAACTTCCTCTGAAAGGAGCAGCAAACAGTCTATTAGAATAAGAAACAGTATATTGTTCGGCTTGGAGCCGATTCGGGAGGGAGGAACCGAGGAATGAAGGTGTTCGTTCCAGAATGTGTAAGACACTTTTTGTTTCTGTGTGTTTGACAAACGTGAATGATATATATCTTTTTATGTCTGTTCTATTTCTGTCGTTTATCGTCTTTTTCATCCTTATTAATTTGCTGTACACAATCAAAATTGACGAGAGTTGGAGGCTAAAATGAATGAGTGCGTGTCAACTATTTTACGATCATATTGTAGACAAAATAAAATCAGCTAATTTTTCTCTGTCTTTTGTGTCTGAGATCCATGATTATGACACTAGTACATATTTGTAGCACCTGATTACTTGCACCTTCAGAATAAATATAAGGAGATTCTGTTCAACGGTTATAGGATGCTACTATTGAGATGATATTCCTATATCAATGCGCAGGAAGCCCTCTAGAAAACATTTTAAAAGTGCAGTTTTTACGTATGACTTTTCTCAGTATTTATTAATGTCTTCCTTTGACCATGTACTATTGATACATTTGTTGTTAAAAGTGGGATTCCTGCACCATCGAAAACCTTTATTTTATCTTCAATAGATAAGAACTGCGCTG